TTTTTTGGTACCAGCTAACGAACTCAGGACCTTGCACTTACAAGGCAGGTAGGTGGTGGTACCACTGAGCTAAATCCCCAGCTTACGTGACATCCTTACAAGAACATCAATCACTGAATTTAATACTTGCTTTCATTCAATATGACCCTGTCTTAACTAATTACATCTACAAAGATGTGATTTCTAACTAAGATCAAATTCTCAGACTTCAGTAAATTAGGAATCACCGGGAACACAGCAGTTACCTAATTCGGACAAAGGATAATGCAAATCTAATTAATGGATCTTGAGAGGTCATTCTGCATTATCTGGGTGGAATTTAAACCCAATGGTAAACGTCTTTATAAGACCCACAAGTGGAGGACCGATCTGAAGAGAAATGCAGAGACTGGAATGATGTAACCACCAGACAGAGAGAATATGATATGAAGCCAAAGAGAAGACTGCAGCACTGCAGCCAGAAAGCCAAGGAAGATAAGGAATGCAGACAGCCACCAGAGACTGGGGGAGGTATGCGGAGTCTCCTCTACTGCCTTTAGAGCATGCATGGCCCTACTAATTCCCTGATTTTGCTTTTTTGGGGCTATTTCTACTTTTCATTTTCTTACACTGACATATAATTGTACAACTTTATGGGGTACCGTGCATTATTTGATACCTGTAAACATTATGTCATGCTCAAATCAGGGTAATGAACACATCTGTCACTTCAAACATTTATCATTTCTTTGTAGTGAAACACTGAAAATCTTCTAGTTATTTTGAAATAACTATATACAAACCAGAGTCACTCCACTGTGCAGAATTTAAGAGAAGGAAGTATAATTATAATGCATAACTTGACTGACGAAAAAGTCTTGTAATCCTCATAGTCATTTGCCTGGGTCATCTGTGGGACAAAGTTCTGAAGTTGGGCTAGTAATGGACTCCTCTCTATCTGAACTGTTTGAAGAATAGGGATTTTTCTGGAATGAAAAGTACAAGTTGATGAGTTGTCTTCCTTAGCCTTCATTTGCAGTCAGCAATTCTTTGGACAGGGAGACACCCCCAAGCACTCTCAGATGGATTAGGAAGAACTCCGGCTGGTGTGAGACTTTTTGTGGACCTCCATATCTCTGCTAACACCTTGATTTTGGACTTCGCTTCTCCAGAACTGTGAGGCAACACATTTTGCTTATTTGAAGGCATGTAGTTTTGGGTATTTGTTACAGCAGTTGGAACAAACTAATACAGGCCTTAACAGAACAAAATTCACTGCAAACTCTTCTTTAACTAATAAAATGAAAACAGTCATTCTTGGGAGTTTAGATTCTGCTCTAAACAGACCAGTCCTCAGTAAACAGTCCTTTGTGAACAGTCATGAAGTTAGGTCAGCTCAATTTCTGTAATGATCTTTTAATACAAAACATCCCTTCAATGACAGATGACAGCTGATGCTGGAAGGCTAGGGTGTCTGTCCATGGACAGCACAACTTGCAACCCATTTCCAGGGTCAGAGCTCTTTTTTAACCTAGGAAGATACTATAACAAAATATATTGTAAACTATATTTCATATATATTCATTTGTGTTTGCCTTATAATTAACAACAGATTTTGACAGTTCATGTGCTTCTCACTTTTATATATGGTTTCTGCCTCCCTATTAAGTTATTTTTATCTTGAGATTAATTTTTTTTACATTACCTAAAGCATAATTACAGGACACTGGGTGTTGTGTAACCTACAAACGATAACACAACTGCTTAAAGCAGCTCAGTTTTGGGGTAAAAAGTCATGTCTTCAAGACAAAGTGAAATTAAATGGGAAAACTACTTGACGCATCTCTTTCAAGCTTTGAATGAATTTAGAATCAGTTTAGCATCAACAGTCCATTCCAAATCTTTCTGAAGTTTCACAATTATTCAAGTGACAGATGCCAGGCTACTTCAAAATGTCACACAGTGTTTTTTTTTGTTGGGTGCATAATGGGGAGGAGCTGATGATCCTACAGACTTAAAGGAAGTCCGTTCGAGAAACTGTCAGTGTCACCGGTCACCAGGCAACACGTCAAGGAAAACCCTAGGGACAGACCTCAGGCCCCCTTCGCCCCTCAGAATGGGGCGAGTCCCCTCCCAGAGTCGTGCTGCTGCTCTGGTGGTCAGGTGTGTGCATGGTGGGGGGGGGCAGACCTGGTTCGCGACTGAACACCCTGCGCCGCCCACGTGCAACTTGTTGGGTGGTGACGAGAAGGTAGATTTACTTGTCCCCGAAAGACAATCTGCACATGCTCGCAGTCCTACCCACTCTGGGGCCAGGTGTCGGCCGGAGATGAGGGTCGGTCGAGCTTCCACCTACAGGCTACCAACCTGGCGAGGTTCGGCCCACCTTCCGGGGGCAGCGGATGCCGGAAGGCTGGGCCTCTGTCGGAGTACAACTTGCAACCCAGGCCCCGGGTCAGAGCTCGTGCACTCAAGCTTCCCTTGCAGACAGCAGAAAGCGTCCAGATCCGCCAGCCGGCTCCGGGAACTCAGAGACGCCAAGGGAACTCCCCGCCCCGCGCAACGTCACGCGGGCGGCCCGGAGGAGCCGTAATGTCCCGAAGAAGCGCGCCGAAAAGGCTGCAACCCCGCTGGCGCGCCTCCACGGGAGAAATTCCTCTCTCAACCGCGCGCCAACCCTTCCCGCGAGCTCCTGTCAGGCAGAAGAGAGGCTCGCGGGCGTGTGTGCTCTAGGGACGAGGCCAGATGCACCCGAATGTTTGGTGTAAGCGAGACATTTGCTGAGGTGGGGTGGCTGTGATTGCTCACAAGGCTTCCGGTCCCTTTATTTAGAAGCGGTGGCAGGTCAGGCCGGTAGCAGGTCTGTTAGTTCTCCTGACTGGTCATTGTTTCTCACCCCGTCTTCTGCGCTGGCCAGAGTGGCCTGAGTCTCCATTTCAGATCGTCCGTACTTGAGGAGCCTCAGAGGAGCGCTGAGGTTTGTGCGCGCCTATTAGGCGGAACGTGGTAGTAATGGCGGCGCTGGGTAAGACTTTCCTGTCACTGGATACTACTACTCCCAGCCCTCCTGCGAGCCGCCTGAGCCACCCTCTGCTCTTTAGTTTACAAGTGTCAATTTGACTTGTTCTGCTGCATGTCTGGAGGCGCCCAGGAAAGTGTGGAGAAGCCCCGGGTATTAAGGCATCGCAGTTTGCAAGGGAAAAAAGCCAAACACATAAACAAAACCCACCCACCCTAGCAAACATGAGGCTGCTGGAGAGAATGAGGAAAGAATGGTTCATGATCGGAATCGTGGTGGCCATCGCCGGAGCCAAGCTGAAGCCGTCCGTAGGAGCTAACGGGGGTAAGAGCCGCGCCTCTGCCGGCTTCGCCGCGGATCCCACTGAGAAGTAATTTGTGAGTGGGAAGGAGGAGTGCGCCTGCCCCTCTTTTGGGCACGGGCAGCCTGGTGTGTCCCTTTGCTGATTCTCTAATGTACTAGCCCTAGAGAGCGCTTGGAATTAGGAATGAGGTGAAGGAATTTGAGCGCAGATCGCCTTTGCTGAGGACAGTCAATGACGATCCTCAGTATCTAGGAGTGAAGTTACAGAGAATGAAACTTAGTCCTCTTGGCTTCTTAGTAGCATCCTATCCCAAGGGACTCTGGGTTGCTAGCACTTTCTTATCTGTCTTGGAAATTAGACCTTATTCTCTAGTTCATTTCCGACTCCTCCTCGCTTTGTTTTGCTTTTTTCTAAGGTGGAGGGAGAAAAAAACACAGGACCCCCCGCCCCTAACTCAGATTCTGTGGCCTATATAGTGAGAGTGATGATATGCTGTCGCTGAAACTCTCGGGCGACTGACACGTCGCACACTTTCATTACTGGACTCTACTTCCGTGTGCTGCCGGGATTCAGTTGGTGCACTAGCAAGCTAACAGATGCAAACTGTGTTACACTATGTGTGGTGTGTGTTTTGGCAAGGAGGCACAGATGCGCTAAAAACCTGCTTAAATCTCTGAATAGGGGAGCTTTGTAATGTGGCCCGTGGACACTGCTGGGAACACTGGACATATCATGAGCCCTTTATAACTTTCCTCTCCCACCTTTAGACGACCTTTTCCTACTTTTCATAACGTTAATTTAATCTTGTCAACGTGTTTGTCTTTTGACCTTGTTTGCCAGTTTTCAAGCTTAATGACAGATATAATAGATTATGTGATGGCATTAAACAAAGACAAAAAAAGAATACACATCTTTTTTATAGTAGGAAGCGCTCATTAGCATGTTTGAAGTTTTTTGTACCGTTTTGTTAAAACATGATAGAAGTGAATGCATGGTCTCTCAGGAGAATAGTTACCCCTCCCCTTCAATTCTTCCATTTAGAATAGTTTCTGGAATAATTTTAAGTGAAGATAGTGGAAATGAAAGCTTTTTTAAAATGTCTTTTTTCATCTATATTTAATTTAGTGCAAAATGTGTAGACTTTGTACCTGTGAGAATAAATCTATTATCCCTGTGGTTTCTCCTTCTGAGGATATTAGTTTTGTCTCTGACACAGCATTTCTGTGAGTTTTGGGGAAATTTGTAAAGGCTGGTATTTCAGAGTATGTTAAATGTAAAAAACTGTCCCCTGCCCAGAATTAAAGTGTCTTTGTGGTGGTCTGCGAGGCACTCTTCACAGTTAGAGCTTCTGGTGTTAGAGCTCTAATTTGCCCAGTTTTAAGATGAAATTATATGATCATGACTTTATGTTAAATCTGCAGAGACTAGATTTGGCAAAATATCCTTTACCTTAGTTCCCTGAATGTTGTATGAGCAGGAAGTTTGCTGAATGGTGAATCATTTCTTTAGGGCTTCCCAGTGGTGTCAGACAGGAGATTAATTCTGTAATATTGTTCTCGTGGACTCTGCTTTTTGAAGTTTTAGTACACTGGTGTATCTTAGAAATATTGTTTCCCATTTATTTTCTCTAGTATTTAAGGATATTAAAATAGGGCAATTTATTTCTTTGCTTAATTATAAAAGAGGAGTAGGGTGTTAAGAGCTGGAAGGAACCTTTTAAGCCAGCATGCTACTTTATTTATTTTTTGTTGTTGTTGAGATGCTGGAGATTGAAACCAGAACTTCTCACATGCTAAGCATCCACTGTACCACTGAACACACTTTCCCACTCCCCCACATGCTTCTATTATAGTTGAAGTTACTAAGGCCTGAGACCAGGTGAGTCAGTGGAAGCTAAATTAGCTAGCTTAGGAAAAAGGAAGGACTGGAGACACGGGTTTTCCTCTTTATATACTGGTGGCAAAATTGTTCTGGCAAGAATCATTAAAAATAAATAACCGTTGCAAAGAAAGGTCCTTGTGGAATAAAGACATTTCCCATGCTCTAATTTTTAGCCCAGAGGTATAGTGCAGAATCAACTAATATTAGATAACAGTGGATTCATATGATTTCTTCCATAACTGTCCTTATGTAAGTTTTGCCTAGAAAAAGCTCCATGGAGCTTTTAATTACCCATCACCACTAAAACCTCTTAAAATAAAAACAAACCTCAAAATAGTACCAAATAACATTTCCACTCCACTAGTTAAAACAGCAAATATCTAGGAAAAAGGGAAAAAGGAGAGGAATGGTTGCTAAAATCATTTCAGTTATATCCTGCTCTTTAGAATGGTTCAAAGCATGTCTTTTGTCTTGTGCTTTTAGTAACTATGTTCCATTTATGGGTCTTTGGGAAGGTGACTTTTAATGAATTCACATTGGACAATTTTCAGTTGTATACTTTATTAGACATTTCTTTCTTTTAAGGTCAGAAAAGTGTTGGTAGTTTTCAATATATTGTTAAGATGATCATTCACTTTTATCTTGATTAATACTTTAATGACTACATTCAGTTTTTAAATTTTAACTTATAATTGTTTTGATCCTGAGGATCAAACCCAGGGCTTTGTACATGTGAAGCATCCCAGTCACTACACCCATTTTTTAAAGTATAAGACTTATATACTTAAAATATCACACATGTGTATGGCTGGACCTCTCTTAAATAATACATGTTGAAAGTTTTCAAATGAGAAGGGGAACAAGGGAGGAGGGAAAAAGGAAGGAAGTGACAAAAAAAAGTGAAAATAGAAGGAAAAAATAGAAATAAAGCTTTTCTATATAGGGAGGAGAGGGGGCTTAAGGGGGGAATGGGATAAAATCAAATTTATAAAAAAATTCTAAACTACCAATAAAAAATACATATTTATATATAGGCATAGGCAAGGACTTTCTGAACAGAATACTGAATGCATAGGAAATAGTACCAAGTATACAAAATGGGACAAATGGGATCGTTTCAAATTAAAAAGCTTCAGGAAAACACAGGAATCAACCAATAGAGTGAAAAGACCATCTATAGAATGGGGAAAAGTTTTTGCCAGCTATTGCTAGGACAGAGAATTAATATTTAGTACATATATAAGTAAAGAACTTAAAATAATTAGACCTCCTAAAATAAAAGATCCAATCAAGAAATGGGCAGCTGAAATGAACAGACACTTCTCAGAGGAACAAATACAAATAGCCAGTGAATACATGAAAAAATGTTCAGCGTTTCTGGCCATTAGAGAAATGCAAATTAAAGCCACACTGAGATTCCATATTTCTCCAGAAAGAATGGCTGTCATGAAGAAATCAGGTAACAACAAATGGTGTAGAGGCTGGCAGAGGGGACCCTTCTGCGCAGTTGTTGGGAATGTAAATTAGTATAACAGTTGTGGAAATCAATGTGGAGATTCCTCAAAAAAAGCAAAACAAAACAAAACAAAAAAAAAAACCCCTCAAACAAGAAATTGCATTTGGGGCCAGGGATTTAGCTCAGTGTTGCTGCTGCCTGTTTTGCTAGGTTTGCTGAGTTTGACACCTGGTACCAAAAAAAAAAAAAAAAAAAAAAAAATTAA